GAGTTTTTAGGGGTTCAATCAATGACTCGAGAGACTTTCAGGAATTTTGGCACATTTCCTGTGAAGGTGACCGGAGTTGCTCTATTGATCAGGCTGTCTTTGCCCCTCCAGCCTCTGTTGTAGAGATTTTGGAAATGAGGACGAGCAAACTGTAAAGGCACACAGCAGCCTGCTAAAATAATAACTCTAACAGCTAGAACTCTGAGTTGAATTTCCCTTTTATTTAAGTAAAGGCTGCAAGCTAGTTCACACACCAGTGAAGTCACTATGGTGTACTCTTCTCGCTGTATGTATGTATGATGTATGCCAAGCAGCTTTTTCATCACTGGGTCTTAAAGACATCAGCACTCTGCCTGCTGCACACAGCTCCCCTGACCGTTGTGCTGTCCCACTTCCATCCCAACATCCACTTGTATCCTCTGAGTCTCGAGTCTCCAAGGTGGAAAATGAATACTGTCCTCTCCTTCTGAGTTGTTGTGCCCTGAGTGGGGAGTGATGTGTTCAGAGCCTAGACACCAAACATCAGCGCTGTCTGCATTTACATATTTATCTAATCTACGTTTGTTGGCTAACTCAACTACAACTGTCTATAAAAGTAATTATGATCATTCACTTCCCAAAGCTGATTTCTAAAATGCTTATAATGATCCGTGTTGTGTTCCTGGCGACCTCATGACTGTCTTTTTCAATAGCAAAGATTGATGCTGTTGTGGCAGGATTAGAGTGGATGGTGGCGAGCTGTGCTTCACATCCCTTCTCACCATCTTACAATCAACATGACTTTCTTCACACCACAGTGAGACCACAAGCTGTTTCCACGGTTTTAGTTGGCCCTTATTAAACCAAGCCTTACGTTGTATGCATTGGTTATGTGCCTCATTATGAACAAATTGTTTTGTTGTTTAGCTGTGATGGCTGTATTTGTGTTCTGATGCGTGGGCATGTAGCAAGATGAAGGCCTCGCTCTGTCTGGTTAACATGCGAATGCCTGCATGCGCCTGTAGAGAGTCAGTGCCCTTTGTTTTGCCGGTGTGTGCATATTGCATGCACATTTAGAGGTCGTTTTGCCTTCCTGTGTGTGGCATGTGCTGTATGTGTGTTATGGGAAACACTGTGCATCCGGCGCTCTTTCTTCTGTGCACGCTTGTGTATGTCTGCATACATAGCGAGTAACATAATCACCACCACCAATCAAAACAACCCAGCATAGATCCCCTTTCCGTTTCTCCCCTCTTTGACCTAGTGAAACATCTCATAATCTCCCCCATCATTGCCATGCCCAGGGTGTCGTCACTTCCAAGGGCTCTTCCTCATCTCCTCGACCTCCTGGGTAACCCAGAGGGTGACCTGGAGTTGAACCCGCAACCCTTTTCCCATTAGGATCAATACTGAGATCTGAGCGGCCCCGCCAATGTGCCTAAATCCTACTCTAGCACCTCTGGCATACTGATGTGTGTATGTGTGCTGGGAGGATAAGGGGAGGTAGTCTGGAAGAGAAGAAAGAGAGACTGAGCGGGAAGGAGAGAGCTTTGATAACAGAGTGGAGGTAGATTCCTCAGGCAGTACCTGGGTGGGAAAAAATGGAGGATTAAGTGTGTGTACTTGCAGCAGAAGTACGCTTGTTTCTCCCGCATCTTTGCCTGCATGTATGCGAGAGAGAATTTCTTTTGTTTCGTGACATTTTTCTGTTAAGGTGATTTTAAGGTTAGACTTTAAAATGCATTGTTGCACTGAAGGGTTTTTCATGTTCCCCTCGGTACAGACTGACAGACTCATAATTCATGTGTGTTGTTTTCGTGTGCAACATTTGTGAATGTGACCTTAAAGACCTCCTTTTTCTAGAAGCGTATGAGAAAGAGCTGAGCCCCGTTTTAGCTTTATGCGATCATTTGTGTTTAATTCTCGGCGTGAATGTGTTCATTTGAGTTATGTTTAAGGTTAGGCTTTTAATGCAATGAATATATAAAGGGCATTTTACTTGAGGTTTCCTGTTGGTACTACAAGCAGCTTGCAGGAACACAAGTTGAACAAGGACTACACAGAGAAATAGCGATAAATCTAAGTTACAAATATGAGCTTTAACCTATATTTCTGAGACATACTGGAGATAGTAGTTCAGTCAGGACAGACACTCACCTGCTGGTTTTAACTACTTGTTTTGCAAGAATACATATTTGTTGAGGTTTGAACTTTGTTCCTATGAAAACATTAAAAACCATTAAAAATTCATGTACAGCTGAATGCTTATACAAAAAGAGACTGTTGAGGTGGAGAAAGCAACACTGCTGAATGAAGGCAGCAGGGGATCAGCGAGAATGAACAGTGTTGTCGTACGCAGTTCTCCTTGAACTTCACTGGAAAGTGCTGTCTTTGTGGCTTTTTCATTTCTTGTTAGACACTGTGAAGGCGAAGAGTTTGTATAAAGTTTCTTTAGGCTGTTAAGTACAGTAACAGCCAGTGGGGTTTTGGTGGAAAACAACAGGAACTGTTTTAAAATCCACCACCCACGACTCTTTGCTCAATCACACTGGGCTCCATTCATTCATCCAGTAATTATTTTTGTTTGTCTCATTCTTTGTTTCTTCTGCATTGTCGTAGAGTACAATAGGTCTGTGTTTATGTTGTGCGTTTTGGTGTTTATGCCTGTTTTGAAAATGAATATTTCTCTTCGGGGTCGCCAGTTCATGTCCCGGTGAGGACACCTGGGATCTTTCTGCGTGGAGTTTGCATGTTCTCTCTGTGCAGCGTGGGTTCTCTCCGGGTTCTCCAGCTTCCTCCCACACAAGTTGAGGTTAATTGGTGATTCTAAATTGTACGCCGGCGTGAATGTGAGTGTGCTTGGTTGTCTGTCTCTAAGTGTAGCCCTGTGATAGACTGGTGACCTGTCCAGGGTGTCTCCTGCCTTCACCCTGAGTCAGTTGGAATAGACTCCAGCCCCACCGTGACCCTAGTGAGGATTAAGCGGTGCATAGATAATGGATGGATGGATATTTCTCTTCTGTGCTTGCATTGAGTATTAATTTTGGTGTCTGCCATTTCAGCATCTAAAACACAGTATCTATATGTGCATTTTTACTCATACTTGTAGGTATTTGTCTGTTAATTACTCCTATTGTACTTCCTTCATCCCTCAACTCTGTTGTGTTTGCGTCTCTGCAGTTGAGTCCAGGTCTAATGAACACAGTCCTGAAGGGCACCTTCAACGTGACGCTCAACAACCCTCTGAGTCCCTCCTGTTCTCCCCGTTTGGTCACTGGGCCTTTAACAGCCCACAAGACCATTAACGCTGTCGCACCCAACGCCTTCATCGCCGCCAGGACGTCTTAGAGCACTTTATGGGTCAAAGTTTGGAGGTGAAAGGTGAGCGAGGTAAAAAGGTCAGCCTTGAGGTCGTCACATTTCAATTGATATTCTGAGGGAAGCAGAGTTTTCATAAATATTTATAGTTTTATCCATTACTGTTGAATGCATAATAGATAATGAGTAAGCTTATTTTCAATTATTAAACTGTACCTTTGCTAAGTATATTAATCTAATGAACAGAAGTGTGGTGAGGTCTTGATATCGTAAAGTGTATTGCTATTCAAAATGAAGCTTTAGGAGGTTTTTCCAAACAAGCTGCTTTTTGATGGATTGTGATAATGACAATAATCACTGAAGCATTCTGAAGTTGTTTGAGTGTCTTTCTGTTTGCGTTTGGCTTTGTCTCGACTCCTAGCCACTTTTTGAAAGATTACCTAAGCGGGTTGTCCAATCTGTTTGCTTTGCTCTGTGTGTGAGTGTGTGTGTGTGTGTGTGTGTGTGTGAGTGTGTGTCTAAGCCCAAAATTTGCTGTCAAATACCAGCACAGAGTAGATCCCTGGAGCTGTTGTTCTGGTAATAGTCTTCAGTTTTTCAAGAAATCTCCCCCACAGTAAATTTCACAGCTAATTTGCTCATTAGAACAGCTAATAACCTAAAATTTAACAGAGCAAAAATGCAGACTGATTAACATATTTGCTTTTTCTTATTGTTTTAGGCACCGGCTTGGAAGAAAACCTACAATGAACCTTGCCTCCACAGTCGATTGTTCCCTCCTTCTCTACACACGGATTCGGCTGTTTTAGTGGATCAGCTTCTTCTGTATAAACCACTTTAACAATAACACGCAGAAAACCTGTAGTATGAATATTATCTCATGTGTTTGGATAACATGATATTCCTAAAAAGAACATCTCACTAAAAACTCATCTCTGTGTGTAAAAGTTTCATATTTAGAAGTCTTTCCCATTAAATTGTCCCTTCCTGCCTTAAAGTAGCTCAGATTTGATTGTTTCTTTTAGAATGATACCTATACAGGAAGTCCTGCCTCTCTCTCCACTAACCACCCCCAACCTGCTGCAGCTCAAGCACACCAGCTCACACGGTAAAACTTGTCAATGCTGCCTAAAGGGAAGTTGTACTACTGCAATAATTTAAACCCAGAAACCACTTCTGAAGAGGAATGATGCAGAAACCACCAGCCTGCAAGTTGTTTAGATTTCAGGAGGTGTGATTTAGGGACTAACACTGGTACACTGCAGGTTTAAATGCTCAACCATGGTACTGTCTTTTACTCTAGATAAGTCTTCCAGCATATAAAAAGGACAATATGCATATGTGAACATGGGGAAAATTGATTTTCACTGGAGGGAATCTTTAAAGCAGCAATCAAAAGATTCCAATCTGAGAGAAATGAGAGAAAGATTAAAAGTGATTTGAAGGTTTTGCAGTACTGATTTGGCTAAAAACATTTTCCTGTACTATACTGCCAATAGGGGCTAATGACAGGGAAGCTGAGTAAATGATAGCATTGTATCATATGACTTGAACCCGCACAGGATGCGATTTAATTTTCCAAGACCAGGATTGTCAGAAATCATGTTTTATTTAATGCAACTGAACCAGTGCATGAGACACTTAGTAAAAATGCTATTAGATTTGTAGCCATACATTATTGCTTAGCATGCATAAATCATGAAGCCATTCATTATGCATATCTGTGATGACTCGCAAAGAAACAGCTGTGAAAGTCACGCGGAAGACGTACAACCTACAGCATGTTCTGATTTTGTTGTACACCGATATTTTCTCGGCACGTTAATTTATATCCCGCACATATGCGGCGCAAACATATGCGTCCACATTTCGCTCATAAATACAAACATGAATTTTTGTTGTGCTAACTTCACTGTAGCGGAAATCATTTGGTGCCTTACACTTGGTTTTACTGAGCATGCAAAGTAGCAGCATGAAATATTAAGTGTACAATACTTTGAAACACTTGTAAGAGCAGAAAGGCTGGAGAATCACACAGAGAAAAGTTGTGCGGAGCAGCGATGGAGTTTAAAACCACACCTTAAAGGAACAGTTTGACATTTCTGGAAGACGCTTACTTGCTATCTTGCTGATAGTGAGAGCAGAGAATGACACGACTCTTGTACGTCTGTTAAATACAAAGCCTCAGCTGGCTAGTTTTTAGTTTTCTGGCTGCTGGCTGAGGGGAGTCTCTGCTGATTTCCTGGCAACCTCACAGCTACGACGGTTGCCAGCCAAGCAATAGTCGGGTACATAATGCTCGTAAAACCGTAACTTCTCCTTTTCACTCTTCAGTTTTGGTATGGATTAAAAAAAAAGCAAAACAAGATAAAATGGTTTCAATACTAACATGAGTTGCTTTGAAAATAGGAAACATTTGCCTGCATATTGTAAAATGAGTCCTTTAACTAAATGTGTATTTATCTGGTAAACTCATGTTGATGGGCTCATGTAGAACACAACAGAAAACAGGTGTGGGATACTTTTTTTCTCCCCATAAATGATGATGATTTATAGTAGGTTATGGGTCGGAAAGGCTCAAATATGCAAAAAGAAAGGGAATACTATATAAGTGCATAGTTGAAAACAGCTGAAGGGTGAAGCAAAGCAAGTTCCTGACCTTGCACATGGCATCAGGGAGGCAGAGATGATGGCTGTGATGAGGTGATGCGATGCAGGCAGTTCATAGTGTCAGATAAACCACTTTTACAGGCCGTAACAACTGGAGAGTGTAGATTTATGGCTCTTTTCACTGCTGATCACTCACCGTAAATCAGCTATTCATGGCCGCGCGCGAATGTGTGTGTTCTCGATGCTAAAAGACAAAGAAAGGGTCTCTGCAGAAGATGCGCAGGTGACTGTCAGCATGCAGTTCGGTCATCTGATTTCAAATAACCTTTACACTGCAGTGATTCTCCCCCCCTTCTTTTTCTCCTCCTTGTCCTGCTGTGTTCAAAATATCTCTCTGAACGTTCAGAGGAGCAGGTCCGACGGAGAAACCATGTCTCTGATTGTTCCTGTGGGCCTTTTAGCCTAATGAGGTGTTTACCCCCTATCATTATTCAGCTGGGAGCGGAGCAGAGGGAGACGGAGGAGGGGGGGAGAGAAGAGGGGAACGGGAGGACAGGGTAGAGAGAGTTGACAGAAGATAGCAAGAAAAGGGGATAGGGGTGAAGGGAAAAAAAGAGGCCAGTGGAACATGGAGCAAAAATGAGAGATTGTATACGGGCAGAGGAAAGATCAGAGAGTTGAAAGAAAGCGAGAAGCAGAGGAAGAAAAAAAAAAAAAGAAGGCAGAGAGGGAGGAAGGGGAGAGAGCCCGGTGTTATTTATGCCTCCCTCGGCACTCGTTTTTACCTTTTTTTTCCCTGCGAGCTGTTTTACATCGGCGATCTAATTAAATCAAATAAATCACAGTGCGCACACACACACACACACACACACTCAGCCACGACAGCCCCTCCTGATTCTTGGATTGTGAACATCTCCTTCCCCTCCTGCCCCCCCCCTCTCCACCCAAGATTGAATAAATCTCGATCATGGTGCATTACACGGCACATCATTCATGTTGTTTATAGGTCTAAAATATGCAAACAGACCAGAGGCATAAAAGTGATCGATGCTCAAATAGGTCCTTTTTCCTGTTCAATTCTCATCTCTCGCACAGCACCGAGCGCTGTCACTTCCACGTGTCTGCTGTGGGATGAAGACATATTGTATCGTGCCCTTATGCTGTCCCCTTTCGTGATGGCTATTTATATTGTTTTTGTGAGGCGAAAGCATTTTTATTACCTCATTTACTAAATCGCTGTCTCTACTTTTGAGCCCTTATTAAATCTAATTAGCTTTGCTGAACCTTGAAGCTGTCCCTGAGAGATCTCTTGATAATTGTAAAGTAGAGGTGAGTTGATCAGTGTTTTTATTGGTTACACTGGGACTCCGATACATGAAACACATGCAAACAACCAGCAGCTGCTAAAGCGGCAGTTTGTTTCCAGGAAATAACTGCCTCTGGGAGATAATTGTTTGGGCATATGTTGTCCAAATATGTTGTTAGCAAATGTATAATTTTTTGGCCAAACCAAGCATGAAATAAATATTCATATTCTGTGATAAACATAGTTTTGTTAAGGCATCCCAACATTTCAACAAGACAAAACTACACAAATTGCTGAATAAGTCCATTATGGAGATGGTTTATTTGATGCTTTCTTATGCAATAGCTGTTTTTTTTCTTGATGGGGTAACACTATAAAAATTCAATTTATTCCCAGCAAAGGGATTTTAGTTCATTGTTCATAACAGATGGCCTTTATTTTAGATTATCTTATGTTCTTTTTAGAACTTTTTTTCATATCTTTTAAATCTTACGGCATCAACAGTTGCTGCAGTTGTTACTTGTGATCAAATATGTATTTTAGCTTTTAATATTTTTGACTGCAAGCACTTGTATACTTTCAAAATGTCATGTTTAGCATAAGGGTCCTTAAAAGTGACTTTTTCATGTGATAAAAAATAAAATCTAGCTTTGACTTTTGCTCCTGTTCTCAGTAATTTAAAGTTCAACTTGAATTTAAAAATATTATTTTACACTTTTTCCATATCATCGACCGTTATCTCTTTTAGTTTTAACAGCGTTTATGGGTGTTCGGATGCTTTTTTCCCATTTAGCACCAAAAATATTTCTCTGTTAATTGTGAAAGTCATCTTTGAAACGCACCAAAAGGTCAAACTAGTTTTTTATCAATCCTCTGCTGACCTTATAACTCATCCAATCAATACATGTAAATGTGACCGGCTATATTTAGCTGCAATAATCTTGAGATGACAGCTATGCACTCACAAATACAGCTTGGTGGAAAGCCAGATTAGTCGGTGTCTTTAATTAAAGGAGATGTACAGTAGTGCAGAAGAATCAATGTGTAGGTTAACAAGTGCTGACAAGGGCAGAATAGACAGTGAGGCTTCATTAAGATACAGTGAGAGGAACAAGACAGGGTTACAATCAGTGGCAGTCGCTGCTGAACTCCTCTCTGCATCTGTCTACCTTGAAGCCTGGAGCAGCTGCGGATGATTCTCGCCTTAATTCAAGCACAAAATAGACGGCGGATACCTGATGGATTCTAGCCAGGGAGACGCTCTGAGTCAGTGCAAAAGTGAGAAATACGAACTCAACCTCAGAGTTAAAGAATTTAAAACACATGCAGATGAAATTGGAAATACTTTGTCTTTTGTGTTCATCATTGCCGTCATTTATCAGACAAATTGTTGCTTTTCTCAGAGTGTTGTTGCAGGTGCACAGAGAAATCTTCTGATTAATTAAAAACATAAAAACGCAGACATGATTCACACACTGACAAGCATTGTCCGGCCAAAAAAAAATTCAACGAAAGGATAAATATATTTTATACACTTGGCTCCATTGCTTCCACTTTCTTCTCCTCTCTCTTTCACACATGTAATCTCTGAGTCATTTCATCAACTTTTTTTCTCTCTCTTTTTTTTTTTTACCCCCCACCACTTCTCCTCCTGTCTCTTCACTTCCCACCGTAGACTCAAGTTGCTAATTATTAAACTCGTGTCTAAGACGGACTATCTCGCTTTAGCTGTCAACTCTTTTCCCACTTGGCTGCTCATATCAGCACCATATTACACACTCATCACTGATAAGCAAACATATCGTGGCGTTAAATAGATAGATAGACATAGATCGATACTTTATTCATCCTCTTGGGCGAAACTCAAGGATGTACAG